TTGTTATTCAATACCAAAATGGTGATTTTAAATAATCAGAAAACGAAGTATGATAATACTAAAACAATGGTTTTTTTTTTAATACACCAATTATTTCATAGACTGAAAAATAAGTAATAAAATAGGTAAACGAGGTAAACGAAAATAAAAGTTATTTAATCTTTTAACAAAACAGAAAATGTAATAAAAACGAATGAACGATCGTAGTTTTTGCACGTCTTATGCATGAAATACAATTTCAATATTTTCATTATCTCAGAAGTTATCGGCGTTAACGCGTTTGAAAACGCTCTGTATATAGAATAATACGGTTTAACGGCTAAACCCCGAGCGGTGGGAAGAAAAAAAAAAGAATTTGTGAAAATCAAACATTCTCTACCGCGTACTTTGCGCGGCAAAACGCTTGCCTGGCGAAAGGCCGCACAACACATAATAATAAAAATAACCGTTATCATCATTATACAATAGGAATAAAAAATATCGGTCGCCCTCCAGCACCACGCGCCCTCGGAACGTTTCGTAAATTATTCGTTTAACGTTCCGCGGGCGACCGAGAAAAAATCCGCAAAAACATACAACACATCCAGCTACTCACGTTTCGGACGGAGGCCCGATGCCGGTCAGCGACAACGATTCGGACATGTTCGGTCGCGTGCAGGACACCTGAAACACAGGACGAAATCGACGTCGACGGAAGAAAAAAAGTGGAAAAGGAAAAATCCGATCGGACGGGCGACTACGGCGGCGGTGGCCACGTGCGTTGAAAATCGATGTCGGCGTAAACCTCGTGTTATCGCGTACCGCAGGTTAGGCTACCGTTAACTGCGAAGGGACCGCGAAAACGAACGATGTTAGCGCGCGCGCGCGGCACTGATCGCGGCGGGTTCGATAACGTCGCGGCACTGACCTGAGGGAACGGTCGGTGGTTAGCGGCGCGGGTTGAAGGGACGGAGCTGCGATCGAAAACGGCCGCGGACCGGGACTGCAGCTACTGCTGCTGCTGCTGACTCGGACGGTTACGCTACGGACTGCGGTGTCGTCGTCGTCGGGTGTCTCGCGGCAACGGTCGCGCGCGCGTTTGTGCTGCGTTTCGTCGCGAGCGCACCGGTCGCGTCGGGCATGCGCTTCGGTCGGCGCGCGCTACCGGCGGCCGAGACGTGATCGATATACTGTGTTTCCGTTCGCGGTACCTTAGCCGGCAACGGGAGGTTAGGGGCGATCGAGGGGCGATACCATCGACGGTTCCATTCATTCGACCGCCGCCGCCACTAGAATCGTTGTCACCGGAGTGCCGCGCGTCAAGGACCCGCGTTGATATTAGTTTTTTGTTATTAAACGTCAGGCAATGATAAAAAATGCTTGTGGTTAGAACGCGAAACACTCGAAACATATCCCGTAACTTGGCGTAAGAAATTCAAAAAAAAAAAAGATGCAAATGCATTGAAATCCGAGCCCTAGTTATCGCGATACGAGCGGTGCTAATGCGGTTCCGTCCATCGCCGAGTCCGAGTCAACGGTCGTTTTGAAAGCCTCGTTGGTCAGACCACGACGCGCTGTTGTTTCGTTTTCCAAACGACCGTTTGGTAATCGCGGTTGCGGACAGATCGTGTAAACCAGAGGTGGAACTAGGAATTTCTACGCCCGGGGAGAATGTTAAAATTACGCCCTATCGTAGACCGATAATCAAGTACTCTTATCGAGCATTTTTTCCAATAATTAATATGCGATCATACCAATTGAGTTTTAACAAAGTTAAAAATATCAAATTAGTTGTTCATAATTACAAAAACTACAACCTCTAGAACCATACGCCCGGTGATGAATCACCGTCTTCTACCCCCTAGTTCTGCCATTGATGTAAACGACCAAGGATAACCAGTGATAGATCGCGCGTCGTCTTCTAAAAACTCACCCCTTTGTTTCACCCCTAAAACTCGTTCGGGATCCAGTATGGTTGGCGCTTGCGAGTATGTAGTAAAAATCGTGTGCATCGCCCGTGATTACCAACATCCTTTGCTTTTCCGCCGCCGTTTTGTTTACAACGATAATAATAATTTTCTGTGGTAACGGTCGTAAAACACGTAGAACGCTATCTGTACGTACACTTTCGTTTTATATGTTATACCTGCAGAGTGAAGTTTATCATAAATAGGTGCCGATATTTTTGGTTCATCGAAAATAGAAATGCGGTTTCATCTTTTTAACGTATTTTTTATAAAAAATATATGTGTTCATTAATAATAAAAGTTATTATTGAACTTGTAGGTACTAGCAACAAATTAGTGTGATCAATACAACGTAATTTAAAATAAAAAACAGGGATACGTTAGGTTAAAAAAATGATAAAATTCCATTAACGGTTTACGATTTACCATTTTTAGTTTTTAGTCAGAGTCAATTAGATGATTTTACGGGTGTAAAATATTCAGATTTTGAAATAATAAATATTTGCTATATATGACGACTTCCTGTATTTATATTGGTATTTTAGTAAAAATAAAATTGAATTGATATTACATAAAAATGAATATAGGACATTTGTCTCCGTATTTTAATAATTGTCGATAAGTTTTAGGAGACGGGCAGAGACGGCTAACATCCTTATTTATCTTACTGGGGGTAAAATTAGAAATGTTAAATGAATAGCTACAAAACCGAGATGGACAAGTTTAGTACTAACTTCATAAGTTAATCTTATATATTAATCACTAATTATATATACCTATCAAGTATCAGATAACATTTATACCTACGAACAAATAATTTTAAGGGTTGGAAGGCAACCTTCCATGCATCCAGGAATTTGCGCTACTAGAGATAAGACGCTTGACCAAATATTCAAATAATCCTGTGTTATACGTAATGCCTGAGCATTCTTATGCTTATAATCATAATTATATTATTATATTATAGTTATGCTGATAGTTACATTTATGATATATATATATAATGATTTATGATATTGGAGCGATACAAAAATGTGATAATAACTTGATAAAATAAATAAAAAAAAAAAAAATAAATAAAAAAAAAATAATAATATTAACCAATAATCAATATTAAATCATTGGATTATAATAATCATTAACCATATAGTTCAAATGTTTTCCCGGTGTACTAAAATAACTGAGAAAGTCCTGTTTAAAAATTTAAATAAAAGACCATTATACATTTGCTGGCTGTGAACGTTTTCCAATACATCGTACAATTAATACTAGTACTTGGCTCTATTGGTAATTTGGTAATTTGTTGTATATTATGTAGACGCGAACATTTATTGTAAATCATCCCAAGATTAGGTGTGTGATCATAATTACAGATTTAGTAGCCATCATGGGGTGGGGGGGCTTCAGACCTTCACAGTCGGGCAAAGAAGAAATGGAATTTTTTCATTCAACTCTTTATTTATTTCTTTTTCTCTTTATTTTTCTCTCTCACCTTCTTTATAGAATATAGAGTAGACTACTCGTCTTGACGTTTGGAATACGTTGCTGCTATATGGAATAAGTTAGGTCGTGAGCAAGGCATTATTCGTCACAAAAGAAATATACTATTATATCGTGTTTGATGTATTACTGCAGCACGAAGTTTATTATATATTATACGAATGCAAGTAATAAGGTTAGCTATATTTTTTTATGCCATCCAAGTTATTATGTAGAGCGTTATAATATGGTTTTTTTTTACAATGTCTATATATTTATATATATGTGCAGTATTCGGTCGGCTCATTCTGTTCATGATGATGACCAGTCGTATTTATTTGAATTTATATGTGTACAATGAATGCGTTAACGCTTTTTCTTCTGTAAGCGTTCGTAGACGACGCGTAATTTTTCGAATCATATTGTTGTAGACACCACGATGTTACTTTTAATTTTTTCATTTTTAATTTTCAAACCATTCGTCCGGTTGTAAGTTGTTTCATCGTAATGTACCGGGTGTTCGGCTAGACACACGGACATTTATATTTCATATATCCGAATTCCGAATAGCCCTCACTTAATCGAGTATATGATATGCACGATCATGCTCCTTGTAAAACGTTTCTATACAACTGTATTATAGTATAATACACTTATAATTTAGTCGTGTGCGTATATAATATGAAATAATAATAAAATTATATTGTAATATATACACTACGTATGTATATCCACTATTTACGACCGAATGCTTGACGAAACCATATCTTCGTTTCATGTTCATGACAATTCTATTGTTCGATTATTTAGCTGCGAGTTGAAATTTCAATAAACGTTTTTTTTTAACATGCTCTGAGTACTTTTAAGCTTACAATAATATGTAGGTATGTTTTTTTTTTAAAATATTATCTTAAAATAATTTATAAAAACGGTACGACTGTATATGTTTGCATACGTAAAATATTACGTGTAAGAATTTACAGGCAAAAATAATTATACTACTCATATAATGCTTCTGTTATTGTAATTTGTATATCAACTATTGGGAAAAATAAATTATCTTCATTATTAGTACTTGCAATTGAACACGAATTGCTCCAAAAATTCGATACCGAAAAAGTAATTGAATCATTTGCAAATAAAAAAAATTGCAAAAAAGTTTTTATGGTATTTGACAACTAATTTTATAGTAAAATAAATTGTTTATAATACGAGTATTTTATTTGTTAAAATTATTATCATATAAAAGTTTATACTTGATTCTTATATTGTAAATATTTTTGTTTTTAAAAATTTAACTTTTAGATTCAATACTTCCTCTGCCAAAGAGGTTTTTCAATCATCTAAATACTGGACACTGCTGGGCCTTATTAGCTCTAAAATCACTGTGCATTGGAGCTAGGGCCTAAGGCCACAATAGTATTAATCCAGGACTGTTTCAATCCGGTGAAAACACGAAATAAATGAACGAATAAGTTGTAGTTGTTACACATAGAGTAATTATTGTACTCGAACGAGAATAAATAAAAAAAATATAACGCTTTTGATTAATTTAAGGTCACGGGAAAAGCACACGATGTGTGTTTCTTTTGACATTGTGTTCTCTTAATGTATGTACACACGCGAGTATTGAATTTAAAAATTTGAATTTACCCATCTACGACGTTATAAATGCGCTTTTGAAAAAATAAATTACAAACGTTCGTCGGGCGAACATGGAGAATTTGAATGCACTTACAAAAATACTCTCTACATATACATATATTGATATATATATATATATTTGAAAGATTTGAAACCATATCTTATATTAATTATGTTTTTACTTCTCCGGCACATTCCGGAACAATGTTCAATTTACCTAATGAATTCAACCGCAATGTTTTCAATTACACACAACGATAGCTCGTTTATTAATTTTTTTTTAAACGTATATTTTGATGCGCCTGAGGGCAACGCCCTTATTATATTATTTTGTTGCTTGTATACAATGTATACGGTTAAATTTCTTATAACGTCTTCCACGTTTAGTAATATTTCTTGAGTAGATATTTTAATTTTCTTAAAATTTAATTAGTTTTTGTTTCACAGTTACTGTATACGCGCACACGATTAAAATAAAATAGCATATCCGGTACGTAAACAAAAGTAAACCATTATAGGATCGATAATGGGTTGAAACTCGTACGATTGTGTTTACTCGGCACACATTTTTGG